CAATTATGAAACAAAGGCTCCTCTTAGCTGTTTCAGTGTGACCGGAACATCAGCACAGATCTGTGATCCATCTTTAACTGGAAGATACAGGCTTTTGTAGACCGCCACACCCATGGTGTAAACTGCTGCAGTGAGGGAGGAGGGGTGGAGCCACTTTCTGGAATACCTCTGTCCTAGGTCCTGAAGTGAAGGGAGCTGGAGTAGGAGCTTTCAGTGGAGCTGCAGGGGGGCCAATATCTCTGGGTCTGACAGGCAGCAGCCAACACATCCTGCCTGACCCAACCTCTGGATGCACTGGAAGTACATTTAGTATTCTGAAAAATAATCTTACGATTTCATACAATTAAAGGTTTCTTGCTAAATCGATAAAATGCATGAATCATTGTAGAACTTAGAAGATTGTTTTGAAAAAGCAGCAAAACACCTTGGTTCAAGTTGTAGCCATTGGCTCATAGCTGCTATAGGACATAAACGGGAACTAACCGCTGGCTCATAGCTGCTATAGGACATAAACAGGAAGTAGCCATTGGCTCATAGCTGCTATAGGACATAAACAGGAAGTAGCCATTAGCTCATTGCTGCTATAGGACATAAACAGGAACTAACCGCTGGCTCATAGCTGCTATAGGACATAAACAGGAAGTAGCCATAAGCTCATTGCTGCTATAGGACATAAACGGGAACTAACCGCTGGCTCATAGCTGCTATAGGACATAAACAGGAAGTAGCCATTGGCTCATAGCTGCTATAGGACATAAACAGGAAGTAGCCATTAGCTCATTGCTGCTATAGGACATAAACAGGAACTAACCGCTGGCTCATAGCTGCTATAGGACATAAACAGGAAGTAGCCATTAGCTCATTGCTGCTATAGGACATAAACGGGAACTAACCGCTGGCTCATAGCTGCTATAGGACATAAACAGGAAGTAGCCATTGGCTCATAGCTGCTATAGGACATAAACAGGAAGTAGCCATTAGCTCATAGCTGCTATAGGACATAAACAGGAAGTAGCCATTAGCTCATTGCTGCTATAGGACATAAACAGGAACTAACCGCTGGCTCATGGCTGATATAGGACATAAACAGGAAGTAGCCATTAGCTCATTGCTGCTATAGGACATAAACGGGAACTAGCCGCTGGCTCATGGCTGATATAGGACATAAACATGCTCATAGCTGCCATAGGACATAAACGGGAACTAACCGCTGGCTCATGGCTGATATAGGACATAAACAGGAAGTAGCCATTAGCTCATTGCTTCTATAGGACATAAACGGGAACTAACCACTGGCTAATGGCTGATATAGGACATAAACAGGAAGTAGCCATTGGCTCATAGTTGCTATAGGACATAAACAGGAACTAACCGCTGGTTCATAGCTGCTAAGGGACATAAACAGGAAGTAGCCGTTGGTTCATAGCTGCTATAGGACATAAACAGGAAGTAGCCGTTGGCTCATAGTTGCTATAGGACATAAACAGGAAGTAGCCGTTGGCTCATAGCTGCTATAGGACATAAACAGGAAGTAGCCGTTGGCTCATAGCTGCTGTAGGACGTAAACAGGGAGTAACTGTTGGCTCATTGCTGCTAAAGGACGTAAACAAAAAGTAGCCGTTGGCTCATAGCTCCTACAGAGCTCCGGATGTCACGTGACTCTCGGATAGTAGATGCCATGTTGGCAGGCAACAAATTTAAACGAAATGAACGGGATTGGCTTGGATTTTACTTCGTCGGAGTTTACTTCACACTTTAAAACCGAAGAAATCGTTTTATATAGTCAGAAATTAAATAGACTAAACATCTCTGACCCTTACCGTGCCCCTGGGATACTTTTTAAAAACGCCAGAAGCTGTCAGAGCGGACTTCTTACCGGACCTGGCCGGGGAACGCCTTGGGATTCCCCCGGAGGAGCTGGTCCAAGTGGCTGGGGAGAGGGAAGTCTGGGCCTCTCGACGCTACTGCCTCTGCAACCCGACTCCGGAAAAGCGGATGAAAATGGATGGATGGATTGACAAATAACATAGATTTACATGTAAATAGTTTAGAGTGCTGTGCTGTTTGAATGTATAAACTGAACGCCAAGAGAAATCACTAGTCTGATTTTTTTCCGTGAATAAAATAAATATGTCAGGCAGGAGCGTCTCAGGATCTGTCTGAGATCTGTCTCGGTGAGACAGATAATAGCAATCCAAAGTGCTTTTTATGTGTGATCTGATAATTGATCAACCATTGCTTAAAAATTAAATACAGCTTAGCCGGTTAATTGCTGTGATCATAAAACACGTAAACGGCAGCACGCAGAACTCACGAGGCAACGTTTTACGTGATGTTTACTTGTTGCTATGAGTAATAAGACAGAAAAAGCCACGCCAAAATAAGTTTAGGAAGCCCACTAAGAATCGTTATAAAAACATTTAAAATATATACCATACACAGTTGAGGAGACGTTGGTTTAAGTACCTGATATGAAGCGGTCGCTGCATAAGCGAAAACCTTTGCTCCCGGGATCCCACAGCTTCATTTTAGCCCGGTCACTAGCGTGTTGATGAAATGTTGAGAAATGATACTTTCTTCTTCTTCGTCTCCTGTAGATGGCTCATTCCTTATGTCGTCTGCGTCTGTTCTGCATCCTGGGGCACTACAGGAATCTACCATATTTCCCGTTTGAGTTTTCTGACAATAACAAATAGTCCAGCTGCGGGCTTCTGCCTGCCAATATGGCGCCGTTTTGATTTGAACTGTTGCATGCCGGGAGATGTGACGTCAACTGCCAGACCTCCGGGAGCTGCATTTCATTTGCTCTTAGCGATGCTCCGGAGTAGGACAAGGGAAAATTAACAAGGAAATTATAAATGTCAGGGTATCTCAAATCCGATAAGAGGTCCGCTCCGACAGCTTCTGGCATTTTAAAAAGTATCCCAAGGGCACGGAAAGAGTCGGAGATGTTTAGTCTATTTAATTTCTGAATATATAAAATGATTTCTTTGGTTTTAAAGTGTGAAGTAAACCTGACGGTGTAAAATCCAAGCCGATCCCTTTCATTTTGTTTACCTTTGTTGCCTGCCAACATGGCATCTACTATCCGAGAGTCACATGACATCCGGAGCTCTATATGGTATAAACAGGAAGTAGCCATTGGCTCATAGCTGCTATAGGATGTAAACAGGAAGTAGCCATTGGCTCATCATTCCCCAATTTAAAATAGAAATTTTTTTTTAAGTTCAAATAAAATGTAAATTCCATCCAGTTATGAGCTACTATGGTCCTTTAAGTTTATCAAACATGATCCAGTGGAGCAGTTTTCCTTCCTGTGGCTAAATGGATTTTAAATGTGAATATATTTATAGCCTGATCCAAGTTTTATGGTGTCAGAGAAGAAAGTAGCAGCATGAAGCTGAGCCAGGTGGTCCAGTTATCCTGCAGGTGTCCAATCAGCATCCTGCTGCTCGCAGCTCAAAAAGCCTTCAGTGCTCATTTGAAACCTTCCAGCTTAGCTCGGGTTCAATTAGACCTCACAGCTCAGTCGCGTCTCCTGCTGAGGGAAAGAAAAACAATTACCACATCACACACAGATAGACCACACCAACGCTTAAACTTCAATTTTATTGTTCTGAGAAAATCAACACCAAGTAAAAAATAAATTACTTCCTTGATTTTTAGTTTTAAACATTCTGATCAGAGGCTCCATTTAGAGACCAGAGGCCTCGGGAAACTGAACTGAGACAACATTTAGAAAAAAAAAAAAGAATGTGTGTTTGATATTCTGGCTCAAACTGATCACTCCGACAGGAAAATAACAAAGAAAAAAAAAAACATATCCATGGGTGAATAAATGCCTCTTCTTCCAAACAACTGGAGTTTATAATTGGAATCCAGCTGGAAAACTAATAAAAACAATTAAATCCATTTCATCTTCAAACAGAGCGAACAGTTGTTGAGTTAATTTTATTAAATTGGTCCACATTTCCTGCATTAAATTTGAAAAATGACTGTAGATCATTAAATTCTCATCATGGAACAGATGTCATCCGTTTTTGTCCTAACGAGCCTAATGATGAATGTTACAAGTAGAAGCAGGAGGCATTAAATGACAAATTAAAGAGAGAAATCCACTATTATAAAAAATAAAATAAAACAGGGTGAGGAACAGGTGTTTGTTTAATTTATATCCTTATTAAATAGTTGTTAAATTTGTTTTATGGACTAAATCTGAGTCAGACGGAGTAAAACACTGTACCTGCTTGTAAAATGTTTGAGGTGTCTGTATGACATCAGAAATGAATACATCACATGGTAAGTGAAGAAAAAACATGCAAAACTTTGCATAAATGTGTTCTGAGCTGGAAAAACACATTTGGCTGCAAAGTTTAGATGCCCTCAAAACAAAATAATGGTGGTATTTTAATCGTATACCTTAATGCAAACATTAACATGACGGGTTACATCGATTTCAAGGACAGAGCCGTTTTATAACAAAAGCTATTGAGTCAAAAATCGTGAAAATGGAAAGGCCGAAGTTTCCAAATGCTAACAGACACTGAAACACGAAAAGGATCAGAACGCTTAACCGTTTACCGTAAAACCTTCAAAAGACAGGAACACAAATATGTGGTTGTAGCACTTGCTAGACCATCTGGAGGCACTTTAACAACCAGGTGAAAACTCAAACCTGAAAACAAAGAGGAAAATGGACCAGTTGAAACAAGCGGCTTGAGCTAAGCTTGGTACCACTTTGAGGCGTTGGCTTGACTGAGACAAAGAATGACAAAATTCTGTTTCCTTGAAGTGAATTCATTAGCATAGATGAATAAAGTTGTCCCGACCTCTTTCCCCATTCCCGCTCCATCTATTATGTCCATAAAAAAATCCTCTACATCAGGCACTTGTTGATCAGTTCATGATGGCTCCAAGCCCTCCAATCAGACACAGCAAGCGGCCCTCTGATTCACTCAGTCAGTTCAGGCAGTGCCTTCACTCCCCTCTTTATTCTCCTTTTTGACCCCGTTTTCTCTCCCTCCGCCTTTAGGCTCCGCGTGCTGCGGTGCACTCCGGGAGACCGCAGTTCGATGTCATCAAATGCGAGTGCAGGGTCGTCTGGGGAGACAGGTTGCGGGGCTGGGTAGTTGGGCTGGTAGTAGCGATAAGGGTCATCCTCCTCCACCTCTCCGTAGTTTTGGAAGACGCTGGGCGGTAGTTGGACTGAGGGGATAGCGCCGACGTCAGTGATATCCTCACCTTCTGCTTTCCCAGACAGTCAACGGGACATCGAGGAACACCAACACCAAGCCAGACAGGCGGAGCGGAAGTCAGTGGAAGCCCCAAACAAAGATGGACGAGCCCCATCACCATGGAAACAGTGTTTCGGAGAGGTTTTGTTCGGGTTAGCATAAAGGACCAGGAAGGAAGGAGCAGGAGAAATAAAAAGACAAGGATTAGCAAGGATCTCCAAGCCATGGTTACCAAGGTTACAGAGAGGTGATCCCAAAAGCAGGTAGAAGAAATTCAAAGTTAGAATGAGCTACTTTTAAAAGGATTCAGTGTATTAAATTTGTTATCTATTAGCTCACAATTAATTGAGACTTCTGAGTTAAAATATGCAAAACATGAATCAGAAAATGTTTGATATAAAGTCTTTTAGTTGCTTTAAAGAGGTCAATTGTGCTACAGATGTTTGTTGGTAGTGAAAGAAGACTGTGGGTTAAAGAAGAGGCATTGGGTCAGGCAAGGACGACGGTGTCAGTGAAAAGGACTAACACTTTCAGCAAACGTCCAACTAAAACTCCCCAAAACAGCTAATAACCAATCATAATAAAGCATACTGGGTATGTAACGTTCACAGGTATAGTTTGTATTTATTACAGAAACAAAATCCATTTTCCTTGGTTAATGGGTTCTTCACATTTTTCTAACATTAAAAAAACAACAACTACAAATTCATAAAGTATCAAAATAACAATAAAACCCAGCAAACATTATAATTAAAATGTTTAAATAATTTTAAGGTTTTTAATGTTTTTATAACTTTTGATTTGCAAATAAAAATAATCTTTACCAAGTTTCAAAATGATTCAAATACATCCACAAATGGAAACCACCAGAGAATATTCTACATTGTCTTCATTTCTTTAACAATACCAGAAAAAAAGGAGAGGAAAAAAAAAGAAGCTAATTTTAGATTTTGGATTAGGCCTCACATTTGACTCTAGAATACTTTAGTATACAAAAGTGCTACTGACTGACTCTGTGACAGCAATGTGCCCAAATCATCAGCCCTCCACCACCGTGCTGACAGCTATAAGCTGTTTTCACCAATCATCTAGCATTATGTGTATTATGGTCAAGCTTCTACTTGGGTTACATGTTTAAAGTGCATGGTTCTGTATTTCTTGTAGTGCATTCAAATAACAATTATTACATATCATGTTAATGTGGTCTTTAGTATGAATGAATGTCGTGTGAGTCGTCTTTGGTGAAAAAAAAGATCCGTTGTTGCCCTTTCTGAGGGTATAATTTGTCAGAGAGTTTGGGGGTGGGGGGGTGGGGGGCAGACAAATGGCAGGATGGCTAATAGCAGAGCAACTCTGCCACTGTTCACTCTTCTTCTTTGGGTAAAAAAAAGGTGTTCTGCTGTGTGGTGGACCTGCTAATGCTAACGTTATTTCCGTTCAGTGGCTAATGCAGATCATGAGGGTCGAAGGAATATGCAACTCTGACTGGTCATATTTTAACTCATTCACTGCCAATGACGACTAAAGTCGTCATTTGCATTTTTTTACTGGCTGAGCATCGGAACGAGTCCCCGCGCTGAGAGAACAAACATCTCAGCCCTGAAGCCGATCTTCATCCGCATACGTCACAGATCACATGATCAGGAAGCAGACCATCCATGTGTTAGGAGATCGTTTTGGGCCGTTCCTGTAAAAAAAGTGAGGCGCGAACCGGAAAAGAGTCTGCCGATCACAATTCGACAACGGATTATGAAAGAACGGATAACGCTCGAAACATGCGGCTTCTTCCTGATGTAAGAGGTGAGTCTCCTCTTTGTTTTGGTTGTTTTGGCATCGACATCATGCTAGCACGCAACGTTCTGTGACTCTTAAAAAACAGTAAAAACGGTGAGAAACGCTGGCAGCGAAGGCCGTTAGTGATCAGGAAACGGCTGGCAGTGAATGAGTTAAGAACTTTTTTCTGTTTATTTTGAGTGTTTGTACACACGAGGTGAGATTCAAATCATTTTAAAACCTGGTAAATATTGAACTATTATTATTTCTGACATAAGCTGCAGCATAAAAAAAAAGAGTAGCTGCACTTTATAAAATGACACAGTGGTTACGAACAAATGTGAACATTTACAGAAACTGCTTGACATTTTTCCATAAATACATGACCTGATCATTAAATTGATAATGATTTGTCAATAAAGTGACCACAGCAGTAAGTGATACCCTCATGTTGCACTGACACAACCTCCTCACCCACGTTAGTCTGCAGCCTTGCAGCTGTCATTTCTTTGGGTGTTTCCTAACGGGGCTCAGTAGTCGTTATAAGGCTGAGCTGATCGGTGACAAAAACAAGAGGATTGTGGGTAAAAAGACAAACAGACAAACACAGAGAGAAGATTAATTATAACATGCAGGCATAACTCACATGACGACCCCCCACAAACATAGGCTGAAAACAGCACCGCTCAGGCTGCTGTGTGACCTTTAACCTCAACACACATCACATATCAATAACATCATGCATTTTTGGGCTAAAGATGACTCCTTCAGGGTTTTATGTATTTTAAACACTCAGTGATTTCCAAATGTAGTGGAAACCAACTGAAAACCCTGAATGAATCATCTTAGAAAAATCCACACTGGATGTATTTAACACACATCTGAAACGTGTTAGGACGCAGAATTCTCATTAGCGTTTGATGCTTGGAGCAAAGTGCGGCCTTTAAAACACGAATGCCTGAGATTCATTGAGCTTTACTATTAAAAAATCATTTCTTGTGAAACCTCCGTGGTCGAGACTAAAAACCCTCGGAAAACAGACATTTTTGGACACGTGCTGTCGTCTTTTTCTTGCTTCTTACTGCGTGAACTGGCGAAATCACTCGTGATCTCGCTGCTCTCCAGTGATATCGTGACTTCGCTGGACGAGCGTTGTCAAGCATATCCCACTCCTGGTGGGAGGGGATATGCTGCTAAGGGTTGTGGGGAAAACGCCTGAATTAAGTTATGCGTCGACTACGTATCCGAAGATAGGACTGGAAAACGTTGAACGAGTGAAAAAGAAGTGAAGTTCTGGGAGAAGTGCCTGTAAGTCAAGTGGGTGGGCAAAAAAAAGCTCCATTCCCTCAGAGTTGACAGTTTAGAGATTTGCCTTTGTTACTGGGAGGTGTCCCCCAAACATAACCTTAACAGATACACGACGATGGCAGCAAAGGAGAATTCTGCATCTTAGCTGTGAGCGTATTTGAAGGTGTTTCATGTTTCACCTTAAATACGAGCGTGGATAGAAAACGTCAGCGACATGCAAACCGTTTAACTCGGCGGAAACCTTCCAAAGTGTAAAAGCAACCGAGTTAAATAAAGGTTTCACTTGACGACCTTCATGGCTTTCATGCTCAGTTCTGCAGTTTAACATCTAAAAGTCCCGATGAGATTAAAACAGTCAAGATACTCACGTCAAATCTCTGTTCCTTAATCTGTTTCTAAATTCTCCCCAGATTTACCGATGTTTCATATTCAGTCATTTACCTGGATTAAAGCACACCCTGTACTTTACATACCTCCAACATTGTAGCCCAAACAGGAGTTCTGGTCACAGTATCCCGGAGGCCCCGGTGGACCAACTGGTCCAGGAACTCCAGGCCGACCAGGCGTTCCAGGATTCCCTGGCCGTCCTGTTGGACCCTGATTACCAGGTCTGCCTTGTCCTTGTGGGCCTGGAAGACACGAGTTAACAGAGAGAACAACCACATCTGAGACTTTCTTTGGCGTGTTAGCATCCATTAAGCATTGCATTGAAACTATTATTATAATTTCATTAAAAAAATGTATTTTTAGGATTAAAGCAAAAACATTTATGGATTTATTTACCAGGAGCTCCGGTGGGTCCTCTGGGGCCCTGGACACCAACACCTGGAGATCCTTTCTCCCCTTTTTCTCCTGGTTGACCTTAATATGGATAAAAAAATAAAACATTGAAAAATGGCAATTTCTCACTAAAACAATAAATACAGTTTTATTATTTTGTTTGCAAAGCCACGGACTAAAGACTGTTCTGGATCATTTATAGTTTAGGGGAATTTTTTTCCCTTTACTATGATTAAATTAAAGTTTACGTTCACCTCTTTCTCCTGGATTTCCATTCTGCCCATTCTGTCCTGGGAAGCCCGGTCTTCCTGGAGGTCCTTGCTCTCCCTGTGATCCTGGGGCTCCCTGTCGACCAGGTTCCCCTGGAGGCCCAGGCACCGTGCGGATGGACACCGGTGGACTGGGTGCATGATTCAGGATGGAGTTGTAGCGAGACATGTGAGCTGAAAAGAAAAAAAAAGTGTAATTCCTACAATTTAGGCAAAACTAGAAGAAAATAAAACATAACTCAGCCTCTGATTTGATCATTCAATAATATACAATTTAAAGAGGACATACTGTAAATCTGCTATGGTCTTCTAGTATAACTGAATTACTTGTGGGCATTGTTCAGGAAGAAGTTAGTTGGGGGTGGAAAAGTGTAGGATTTTGCATATTTACTCATTAATATTCATGATATGCAAACATCTAGCTTCTGATTGGCTAACAGCAACACAACTCTTCTGCTGCCTTCGTTCGCTCTTCTTTCTTGGTGAAAAAAATGCAACGTTGATGTTTTATCTCCACAAATAACACAAGCCTGAAGGAGTTCCACCGATGATTGTTCGCTTCTACTAGCTTAAACGTTTTCCGCCCTTTTCTGGCTGCTAAATCAACACAACCTTCCTGAGCCGAGGTAAGTCTATGAATGCTTATTTTACAGGTTGTGAAATTGATTTGTTTGGCTTTTTCTGATCTGACCGTTCCTTCAACTACCTTTTTTTGTGTGGAAGGAAACAGAGGTAGCAGACTGTTTTCAAGTTCAGCCTGCATGTGAAACACACAGATCGGGTTTTAGAGAGTTACTGAAAGTCAAACAGGAAGTGCTGTTACTCACTTTGGATCAGCTGCTCACACACTTCCCTGGCGATGGCCTGAACTGATGCTGTTGACTGCAGGTCACCCTGCAGACACAAAGTATGGATTAATAGGTGAAACTGATTCGTATCTAAGATCTTAAAACATGTCTATGTTAGGTTATTAATGTAATTCATTGTGTCCCAGAGACAAATATTTTATAAAATGTATTATTATTTTTTTAATTTTTCTCTTTTTTTACATCTGGCAGCTGTGGATACCTATTCCTTCCTTTCTGCAAAGTTCACTTAATATGATAAATCATACTGATTGAAAGTTTTACAGTATTAAACATGCATTTGAAATGATAAGATCTAAATCTTGTCCCTTTGATTTAATTATATATAAAATATGGTGAAGAATAGAGCTGCATTGTTAAGAATCAGGCGATACGATATACTCCGATGCTAAAGGATAGACGATATTTGCAATTATTAAGATTTAATTTGAAACTTTAATGGGAAATCAGCATAACAAGCTGGTTTAAAACAGTGTTTAATGCCTCTTAATAACATTTTAGTAAAACTATAAATATGTTGTTAAGGAAAAATGAATCTATACATATTGAAGTGGTTCTCTGCGAAGAACGACTTGGACCGAAACCAACGATTGAACCATCTGGTTGTCTGTCTCACCAATCCACCACACTTCAGCATTTACCTGGGTCCTCCGCTCATTATGAGCACCATCATTTTGTAACAGAACAAGGTGTGTGACGTTCGTGGCTCAATAGTATCAAGGATGGAGAAACAGCTGGCTGCTACCACTTCAACTTTAGGACTACCAGAGTACCAAACAGAAAAACAACATTTGAAGTCAGAAAACAAAAGATGTTTGGACCTAGAAAACTCTTGTTTCCTCTGGCAATGTGGGTTCCAGCATCAGGAGGACATGGTCAAGGGATGGTGGCCAATTGTACATGGGCTGTAAATGTATTTACAACCCATTAACCCCCCCCCCCCCCCCCCCCCCAAGGCACTTCACAAACAATCAGTGGTCGCTGGTGGGGATGAGCTACGATGTAGCTACAGCTGCCCTGAGGCGCACTGACATAGGCAAGGCCTGCCACCAGTCCCTCTGACCACCACCAGCAGGCACAGCAGGTTAAGTGTCTTACCCAAGGACACAACAGCAGCATTGTCTGGTCGAGCTGGGATCAAACCTGCAACCTTCTAACTAGTGAACAACCTGCTCTACTTCTTGAGCTACTGCTGTCCCTGATGGGGGGGGGGGGGGGGGGGGGGGGGGAGTTCAAGCTAGCTTGTTTTGCAGAGTTGCCATCGCAGCTTTAATCAGAAAACCCAGGCCAGACACTTCCAAGACGCATCCAATGTTATCGCAAGATCTCGTTTCTTTAAAATGAAGGTGGTAAATACTGCTGCCACCTACAGGCGGGCATGTGAATTGCACCACACAAAAGAACTACAGTACATTTTTGCCTATAAATTGTCAATATATAATATAATATATAACACAAACTCAGTTATATTTTAGTGTATCAATATTTTTTAAACCTTAGTAAAAGAGTATAAAAAGGGAAACTCACCCGTTCACCTCTTTCTCCTTTGTTTCCAGGAAGACCCTAAAACAAAAAAAAAAAAAAGAAAAAAAAAGAAAAACAACTGAATCCTTGGACATAGAGGCTGAAACAAAACATTAGAAAGTGTAAAGAATAAAGCATATTTTTTACTTAATCTAAAATAATCACCTCATAAATAAATCCTATTCTCCAAATATAAACCTGGGATACATTTTAAGATATTTGATCTTTTCCCAAAGTTTTGGCGGGATTATTTCTGCTGTCCCACACGCAAAAACTCTAAATAAAACAGATCATTTTCTACAAAGATTTTCATTCATTCAGTAAATACAGATAAAATGTAAAAGGCTAATTTACGATGACAGAAATCAAGAGAAAATAAAAACAACAAATAGTGAAAAATCACATAAATTAATCTTGTTTTATTCCACAAACCACATTTCTGTAACGCTTCCTCCCTGAAGTCCTCATTAAAACCTACAACTTAGAGTCGTGCTGTAATTAGCAGATGAGTGGTGTCTCCACCAGCCGCCCACATCCGTGTAATTACACGCTTGACAACATTTTTTCTAAGCGATGCAAAGTCATTTATCAGCAGCTTTTATCACCTCCCGTGGAGTCTGCCTTCCTCTGCAACTATGTTATCAAAATGTGATTTCCTTCTGCTAAAGAACAAGTAAATGCCAACGCAGAGTAAACACAATGTGACAATGTCACAAAGAAAACTGAATTTTAAGATAAACTTTTATTCTGCTGTCAGATTAAACTCCTGTTTTTAGGCGTCAAAGGTCACAGAGGTCCTTGATGCCTCTGTTTTAGATCAGTGACTGTTTGACATTTACTAATTTAGTAAGATCTGACTTTTATTTAGAGTTTAAATGTATAGTTTGGTTATTTTTCCATTTAAAATAATGACAAAAATACAGGAAGCCGGAAATCGCCAGTATAGGTAGCGTAACAAACCACAGTCGAGTCCTCAATATGAGAATTACAATACATCAGAGGGTAATTAATGGGTGAATTATGCAATAAATTATGACAGGTGAATATTGGGTCTGTCAAATTTGATAAAAAAACAGGAAGTGAGGATTTTTCAGAAAAACAATGGGTTAAATTGTCTAAAGCTGCAGCTCTGACACAAGCTCGTCTGACCTGTGGTTTTCTGGTGTCAACACAAACACATTTCACTCTGCGAGACATTTCTGTGTCTATGTGTCCAACAAGCTTATAGACAGAGTTGACAGGAAGTCATTAATCCCTCTGACAGACATTACGGTCACCTTACTGCGTCTGACAGACTCTGCTAAGCCTGACTGACACCACTTCCTGTCATCTCCTGAATGATTACACATTCTGTCATGGTTTGAGGGAAAGGTGAGGATACGGTGGACAAAACAACAGTTTTTCTTCAGAAAAGGAGGAAACAATAGTCTCCCGACTCACCGGTGGGCCCAGTTCTCCTCGTTTCCCTGGAGAACCTGGATTTCCCGGAGATCCCGGAGCTCCTGGGGTCCCCTGAACACACAAAAACAAGGAAACTGTATATTTCTGTTGTTCTGATCTTAAATCTTTTATTTATTTATAGAGCAGTGCACTACCAACACTATCTATACTGGGGACAGTGTGCTGCTGACCTCTACTCAGGACGTTGTGGATCGGTGGGCAGAATACTTCAAAGACCTCCTAAATCCCACCGACACATCTTCCATTGAGGAAGCAGATTCTGGGAACTTTGAGTTGGACACTCAAATCTCTGGTGCTGAGGTCACTGAGGTGGTTAAAAAGCTCCTCTGTGGCAAGGCTCCAGGGGTGGATGAGATCCGCCCGGAGTTCCTTAAGACTCTGGATGTTGTGGGGCTGTGTTGGCTGACGCGGCTCTGCAATATCGCGTGGACATCGGGGGCAGTCCCACTGGACTGGCAGACCGGGGTGGTGGTCCCCTTATTTAAAAAAGGGGACCGCAGGGTGTGTTCTAACCACAGGGGGATCACACTCCTAAGCCTTCCTGGTAAGGCCTATTCAGGGGTTCTGGAGAGGAGGGTCCATCGGATTGTTGAACCTCAGATTCAGGAGGAGCAATGTGGTTTTCATCCTGGCCGTGGAACACTGGACCAGCTCTATACCCTTAGGGGGATCCTGGAGGGTGTGCGGGAATTTGCCCAACCCGTCTACATGTGTTTCGTGGATTTGGAGAAGGCGTTTGATTGTGTCACTCGGGGGCCCTGTGGGGGGTACTCTGGGAGTATGGTGTACCAGGCCCTCTGATACGGGCTGTTAGATCCCTGTATTACCGGTGTCAGAGCGCATTGCCGGCAGTAAGTTGGGCTCGTTCCCAGTGAAAGTTGGACTCCACCAAGGCTGCCGTTTGTCACAGATTCTGTTCATAACCTTCATGGACAGGATTTTTAGGCGCAGCCAAGGTGTGGAGGGCATCTGTTTTGGTGGCCTGAGGATCAGGTCTCTGCATTTGCAGATGATGTGGTCCTGTTGGCTTCATCAGAACATGATCTTAAGCTTTCGCTGGAGCGGTTTGCAGCCGAGTGTGGAGCAGCTGGGATGAGAATCATCTCCTCTAAATCTGAGACCATGGTCTTGATTCGGAAAAGGGTAGAATGCCTTCTCCGGGTCAGGGAGGAGGTCCTGCAACAAGTGGAGGAGTTTAAGTATCTCGGGTTCTTGTTCACGAGTGAGGGAAAACTGGAGCGTGAGGTCGATAGGTGGATTGGTGCTGCATCTGCAGTGATGCGGGCGTTGTACCGGTCTGTCGTGATAAAGGGAGAGCTGAGTCAGAAGGCGAATCTCTCGATTTACCGGTCGATCTACGTTCCTACCCTCACCTATGGTCATGAGCTTTGGGTAATGACAGAAAGAACGAGATTGTGGATACAAGCGACCGAAATGAGTTTTCTCCGAAGAGTGGCTGGGCTCCCCCTTGGAGATAGGGTGAGAAGCTCGGTCATCCGGAAGGGGCTCGGAGTAGACCCGCTGCTCCTCCACATCGAGAGGAGCCAGCTGAGGTGACTCAGGCATCTGGTCAGGATGCCTCCTGGACACCTCCCTGGTGAGGTTTTCCTGGCACGTCCTACCGGGAGGAGACCTAAAGGTAGACCCAGGACACGGTGGAGGGACTATGTCTCTCACCTGGCCAGGGAACGCCTTGGGATTCCCCCGGAGGAGCTGGCCCAAGTGGCTGGGGAGAGGGAAGTCTGGGCCTCTCGCCTTAGGCTACTGCCCCCGCGACCCGACTCCGGATAAGCGGATGAAGATGGATGGATGGATAGAGCCCATTAAATTAAAATGATTGATGTTTGCTGCTTTAAATCATGTGATAGAAATGTTAGGCAACTAGAAGATTAATTAGAGCAAATGTTGATCCAAAATGGTATATATATATATATATATATATATATATATATATATATATATATATATGTATTTAAAACTGATTTCTTTTAACTTTCTGAGTACGTCATATAAAGATCCAAAACTAAGGATGGGGTTGCATTTCTAGAAATGTGTTCTCAGTTTAAATGAAAAGGTTTTGTTGGTGCTTTTAACAGAGTCTCTGGTTGAACTGATGTACCCTCCCAAAAAGCAACACGTTTGCAAGGAAAAACCAAAACAAGAACCGTCTCTACTTTAAAAATCTGACAATAGAAAAAAATAAATGTTGGTAAAGAGTCACAATGACTGACCATGGTTCCTGGGGGGCCCTGTCTGCCCGGTGGACCGTCTTTGCCGGGAAGTCCCTGTAAAAAAGGTAAATAAATGTCTGAAATTAATTAATTCATTTGTTAAAAGTAAAACCACTTTTCAGTTTAGTTTTAAACACATGGTTTTTGGAATTAGATCTTCAAAGGTTGACAAAAAACGTTCAAAACCCACTAAAACAGAAGTAGGCAGGGACATGACTCACTCTGGATCCTGGAGGACCTTCTCTTCCAGGACCTCCGGGTCGTCCGGGAATTCCCTGAAAGATGAGAAGGGTCAAAGGTCAAATTTCCAACTTTCCAAAAAATAACACCACATTTAAACAGTAAACTTGTACCGGTAAAGCTCATTTTACCAACTTTTTACAATTGACTTCTACAAACGAAATGTTAATTTAGTCTAATTATAAAAAACATTGTTACACAGGCAAGCTAACAATGGAGATCATTAAAGATGTTACCTGCTGGCCTTGTTGGCCGATATCACCTTTCTGCCCTCTCTCTCCTATAGACCCCTGCGGATAAAGAACAACATACATGAACACAAAACATAGTGAAGCTGAATCTAGTTGATCATGTGTTCTACCGGGGGTCCGATAATGGAGCGCCCACTTGGTCCTTGTGGTCCAGGAGGTCCTTGAGGCCCGGGTACACCTGTGTCTCCAACTGGTCCAGCTGGCCCCTGAACAGAAAGAGAGATAGAAAGATCAGTTTACATGGGTCAGTTTGAGGGTTTATTTGATTTGGTATTATTATTTCATTTAAGTATCCATTAAAGCTGGGGTCCATAATGTGACGTTATTATGGAGAGCAGGAGGAGATTTTGAAATTTGAACAGCTGTAACTCCCCTGCTCCCCTTCCCCTCCTGGAATAAGTTTTCTGCTTGCTGTCGAGAGAGGCAGAACTTTTTCCTCTTCTTCCTCATCATCCTGCTGCTCTCTGTGCTCTCTACCAAAGCACCTCTCTGCATTCTTTCTGGATTTTTCCAAACCATGGATCTGGTGAGCTGGTCTCTGAATGCAGTTGATAAGTTTTTTCTACTTAAAGAATGGTGACGAGAGCTCCATCAGTTTCGGACAGAGGGCACCCGGTTGGGTGATGGATTCCTGGAAAAAATGGAAAATGATGTCCCTCTCAGTGCTTTCCACGGAGGATTTGGAAGATGTTTACGTGTCTGGGTTCACGATTACTAGGTTCCTAATGTTTGGAGCTCATGGCTACCTGGTGTATCTGAAGATTTTGGAGCTGATGAGAGCTGTTGGCATTCTCCCAAGCCTCGAAAAGGTATCTGCCGTTCTTTGAATCCTCATACTCAGACGTTGCTCAAGATGAATTGCGACCCAGGTGCTCTGAGCAGTAATCTGGCTGTGTTTTCTTAAATGGCATGCAGAAAGGAAACCAACATGGACAAAGTAGCAGCTCGGCTGGATGGAAACAAAACCCCTGATTTGGCCGTTTGGTGCTCTTGAAATTGGCAAGGACTGAAGGCAAAGAGGTAAATTTATCTCTTGACTGTTCCTAAACAATTTTGTAATCCAATATTGGCTCCCCTACGTGGCCTTGAAGGCCAAAGATGTCAAAACACTGAAATGGATACATAGACAGTGTTCTGCTCCTCTCCTTAGCCTTACTCCACACACGGTACTGTGACCTCCTGGATCTTTGCATGGCCTCGCTCCGGATTACCTCTCTGAGCTACTGGTTTTTTACTTCGCTGCATGGTCTCTGATGTCAGCTCACAGGATGCTCTTGGAAGTCTCCAAAACAAGGCGCAAGCTCAGAGATGACAGGGCTTTCTCTGTAGCGGCCCCTAGGCTCTGGAATGTGCTGCCTTTGAGCGTTAGGTCGGCCTCTTCACTGGTTTTAACTCTCTTTTGAAAACCAATATTTATGATTTGGCTTTTAACTCAGCATGCAAGTCATTTAGTGTTAGTTCTTAAGCATTAGTTTAAATTGCAATTTTATGTTGTGTATTGTTTTTAATGCATTTCTGTGAATAACTGGTCGGTTTTGTTGTAAGGAGCTACACAAATAAAGCTGCCTTGCCTTGCCTGGATCGGTGGTGATCTAGGAGAAAGATCACAGGACCACAAATCACTGACACATTACACATGCAAGAATACACTCGCACGTCTCACATAAAACACACACCACCTTGGACTTAATGCTCTAATTTTCATTCTCTGAATCTCCTCCACACCTTGGAGCAGCAGAGATTGGATTGCATGCTAGATGAGTGCAAGCCCTCCTGGTTCAAAGGGGATCCCTGCCCCTCCCACCTGTCACTTGTGATTTTTGTTGAGATTGTCTGAATATGTGCTTTAATGCTTGAGGTGTTTTTCCTGAATCCCAACCCCAACTCTTACCGCTGCTGCGGAATTGGTGGGTGGGGGTGGGGGAGGGGGGCTGTTTTTCTCTTTTCCTGACCCTTCCCTCTCTGATGTCACCCCCGCTTTCTCTTATCGTTTCCCATCTGCATAATGGGAAAAGTAAAAATGAAAGTGGCAGGAAACCAGAACTCATAGCCCACAAACAAACTGGAATGACACAAAAAAGGTGGTTCAGAGTAACGCAGATTGTTGTCTTCCTCTATTTCTGTTGTGAGAAGGGGAGGTTACGGCTTGCTAGTTTTGCAAAATCGATGCGATCTAACAATCAGTTCAGTTTCCTCTCTCAAACTTCAACACTATGCCTGTTTACTTTGCTTTTATTTCAGCTCATGGTTCTCAACTACATTTGCACCGACCACTTTATTACTTAAAACAAAGCTTCTTCTGATCATCATTATTATTAATAAGTACATTTACCTAAAATAAGTTATATATATATATATATATATATATATATATATATATATATATATATATACATACATATATATATATATAGTGCAATGTGAAAGATCCCAATATGATCTACTTTGGTTCTTCTAGTCATCTGGTACACAATATGCACTTTAATAGATGATTAAAATACTTTGGTGATGCAGCTGCAGCTAAATGGAACAGATGAATATTGACTGATACCTAAAACTTCCTCTGCTTCACTTCCTGTAAAACTGTGGTAATGTGAAATGCCGTTGAGGAGATAGCTGCAGTGATACAAGAACTAAACAGGAAGTGATGATTTTGATGAGCAGCAGATAGTGAAAAACTAAATTGGCAAGCATCTTTATATAATACATTCACATTTAGATATCACTCTTTGTTTCTGTTTGTAACATTTATTCTGTCATCACCATCGACATATATATTTTTACTTGGTCATTACGTACAAAAAATAAAAAACGTTTCAGCCCTGAGAAACAAACCAATATATATTGAAAATAGATATTTTTATTCCCTGTAAATTCCTCAGTGCTTCCTGTCTATCTGTTTAGTGCAAACAGAGGTAAAAGAACCTGGGCAAGAAACCTCATGTAGCAGTATCAGATTATTCATGTTCAAATAGATAAATGACCCGAGACATATTTGCGTGTTAGAACAGGGGAAAAACTTTTGGAGTACAAGTTCTCATTTACCAGCGACCTTAAGATGTCCTGCAACATTTACGAGGACCCGGATCGAATCATGAAGGTGAGATTCAGTAAAGGAGTCCGGGACGACTCAGGAGAGAGAGTGGAAAAAGTGGTGGACATCTAGGAGAGTTTAGGTTCTACGTCTGATCGTCACGTACGTCCGTCAGAGCAGAATGAAGGTGACAAATATTTATGACACATGAATTTTATCACATCGTTTTCTAATTAATAACTATAAATATACTTTTTATTTTGATAAACCTTTGCTAAAGATGTAAATGTTTTATTTTCAGATTTGCCGATGACGCAAATCTTTATACATCAAGATCTAAAAGAATATAAATATTTTATTATTAGTGACTTCATCAATGCACGTTAGTTTATTTTTTAAAAAATTTCATCCCACATCCTAATTTCTTTTTGAATTAGCTTTCATTAAATTTAAATGTATAAAAAGACATTGAATATATTTTTTCATTTGATCAACTCAACTAAAAACTCTTTAGGCTTTCCAGCTCGTTTAGCTTATTTGTTACATTATTGATTTTATGCGTTCAATATCAGTTTCTGAGAAGTTTCCATTTGTGAAAAGCTACAACTTTATATTATCAAACACATTTTTTTCTTAATCTGTAAAAATCTAAAATAAAACTAAGTCTTTGTTTTATTTTGTAGGATCTCAGACTACAAATCATCATCCATCTCTCAAAAGAATCAATTACAGGAATGTTGCTCTAATTTTGGGAATCCTGTGCTTCGTCCTGTTGGCTGGAATCCGTGTCCTGCTCTGTAAGGATTTCTTAACTTATTTAGAAATAACAAAAGCAAAAACTGAAGAAAAGGAGGGAAACGTGTTTTCATTGCTCATCTGAATTTCCTCATTGCTTTGCCTTAGATCTACTGGTTTCAATGCAGGAACTCCGCTCCATACTTCAAAACCAGAACATGGAACGCCTAAAACACCCGAGCAACAGCAGCTCACCAACATGTGGGAATGAGACGGAGCTGAAAACAGATGATAAATATTCAAAAGGTAACTTCTACTTTCCTTCTGATTGAAGTTTCTTTTAAATACCTAAAGCACGCTGCAAAAGCAAAACTAATAATAATCTGTTTTTAAAGACTGGCAGTGGTTGCTGAATGTTTCTACACATCAACTGAGATGAAAAACTGGACAGAAAGCAGCAAAGACTGTAAGAGTAGAGGAGGAGATCTGCTGGCGGTAAACAACAAACACAAACATGTAAGTTATTATTCAAATACAATTAAATATAAATATTATTTAATATTGTAAAGGTACCACTGTATAATAAGTCTCCCCACAGATACGTTTCTGCTTTTGCTAAAACTAAAGGACCTTTCTAAAAAATAAAGATTCTGGGAGACTCCTGGATTGGTCTGGAGGCAGTTGGATTAAAGAGTCATCGGGATTATATTTGGCAGTGGACAAATGGATCAGAGTCACAACAGATCTCATCACTGTTTAGAAGTAACAGTGGAAATGCAATAAAAATCAAGCAAACATTTAAACATTTTCAGCAACATTTGATCCTTCTATGAAATTTTAAACATTAAATCTTTCAATTATCCTAAACAAAAAACAAGCTTCTCCATTAATGTTATGGAATAACAAACAAACAAAAATAAAGTTGAAAATATTCAGTTTAAATTACAACAAACTCTTGTTTTACAGCTTGTGATGTTTTATTTACTGAGTCTGGGGAAAGGATGTAATGTTGTCAGTGGAGAAAGACTCCAAAGCTTACATTACTCAAGAAGGAAGCTGGATGAAAACCATAAACGGATCAAAATACGGGATCTGTGAGATGACCCGCTATCATAACAAAGAGGAATGGGCACCGAACTGGATGGCCTTTCGGCATGCTGGGAAACACCGCCGTTTACGCACTCTGCTAGGAGGAAACGTAAGAGGAGAGGCTGTCGGGGTGGACGGCTCGTCAAGCTGAAAGCATTGAAGTTTGCCTCTTCTGGCGGTTCGCGAGTGGTCTTGTGTTCGTCCACTCGGTTCCTGGCGCCGTGGCGTGTGGAGGATCCGGTGGATTCGTGGCTCGTTCCTGTTGCCGGCAATTCATGGGAGTTTGGTAAGCGCTCCCCACCCTTTCGGAGATTCAGTCGGAGACGAGCCAATCTGAGGAATCTCCGA